ATGAAGTTTAAATTAAGGTCATAAAGTTTCTTTGAAGACTTTATGAAACTGTAACAATAATAATTATAACCAAACAAAGCATTCGCAAACAGAACGATGTAAATTCTCTTTTTCAATCGATGTAAACTTTACATAATTTTGAAAATAACACTTTATTATAAAAAAAATGGGTGAGTAAATATAGAATACCGAATAAATAGGTACATAGATAGATATATTTTTTGAGGAATAAAAATTACACACACACTTTAGTAAAAGTAAAAAAAAATATAAATATGACTTCATTCATTGACAAGCAAGGCAAGTCACAAACTTAAGTTTTAGAGAAAGCAAAGGTTGTGGTACTAAACATTATTTTAATCTCAGATGAGTCCATTAGACCTAAATAGGACCTTAGTGATAGGCATTATATTTTTTCTCCCGTATCTCACATTTTTAAATGCCATGTATATCACACAATCACAAATAACAATCATATAGCACAGATAGTTACTATTTTAAAATTAAACTCCACCACAACCAACCAAATTTAATAATGCCACACAGAATCCTTAGATCCTACAATATGTAACATATTAGTATAATTTGCAAGATTTGTACTTGAAGCAATTAAGAAGGTGCCAGAACAAGCAATCACTTGACATGTAACAAAATCTTCGAAAAGACCTTTAAATTGCAGTAATTTCTTTAAATACACTTTAAATATTAATTTATTTATGCATTAATGAATTTAGGATCTTATATAGCAAATTACCTTGACCATTGGCCAATAATTATTAAGCTAAATATGAGGAACCTCATTCTGTGTCGTTGCCTATATTAAATGCTAACTATTAATGTGCCTGTGAGATATGTACGTAAGATCACTAACACAAATATTTCAACCCAGGCAATCATATAACATCAACATAAATACAGGTTTCTTTATAGGTTTTATTAATGTGATATTCAACTAAATGAAGTTACAAACCTATTTGTATATAGCCATATAACAAATGAGGAAAATAAAATGCTATGAAGTTGTTAAATAAAAGATTTTATCTTATATGGTATATGTATTGTATCATTTAGAACAATACAAGTAATTTTTCAGGTTGATGGAGGAATTGGTTAGAGGCAATGAAGACCTTTTGGAATCACTTTGTATGATAATGTAAATAATGAATTTAATGTGAATAAGCGTATGTACAGTTTTTAAAATATATTACAAAAACAAATATATTGTACCACCTACATTTTGGAATTTGTATGCAATGTGCACGTAAAGTTATTTTTATATAATAATAAAAATATTGCTCATTTAATGTTTTTTATTTAATATTCTTTTGTTTATTAATTCACCATTCAGTCACATCAGTACTAAGTAATTAAGAATGAAGTAGTTGTCTCTGTTTGGTAGTCTCAATAATTTTATGTATATGTTATGTTCAATAGCACCATAAATATTACTATATACTATGCACTAAATGGGTCTTTTTATACTTTTATATTAGGGTCATGATGACAATGTTCATTTTTACATAAAATGTGTCATAAGAAATTCAGTCCATCTTTTTTATTTATAAAGTAAAGTTTTTTTTATGGATTTATTTGCATGATAGCAAAAAATATTTGTTTTTGCCTCCGTTTTTGTCTTTCCAGTTTAACCTTCAAGTTGATAACAAACTATGAGTTATAATGAGAAAAGAGACATTAAAACTTGGACAAAAAACATTTTATGTTTGAAATATTGAAGATTAACACATTCTCTAACTCATACACATTCTAAAAATAACTAGAATACTAACATAGGAACAATAGGTCATTTGTGAATTTTTCTTACAAATAATTACAGACATATAAATTCGATTTGGTAATAAACTACGTAGGTATTTTATGCATCAATAGGAATACATTTTGAAATAAAAAATAAGAAACATTATGTACATTATTTTGCTAATGATTTACACCTAGCTTATAAAATCTCACTATAAACAGATATCAATCTGACATTGAAACGTTCAATGTTAGAAGACTTAGGTACCCAGATATTTGACATCCCTACATAAATGGTAAAAAATACATTTTATATTAATAAATAAAAATAAAACTTCAAATATATATAAAACAAATATTTTTGCATGTAATATCAAGTTTTTTTTATTATTTTGAACAACATACTTAGGACGTTTTGGTTACTTTCCAGCAACCGGGATCACAGGCAAACGGACAGACGGACAAAGTTATCGAAATTTCGGAAATAAGGAGTTTAAAATAATAAGAAACGCAATAGTGCATCCGAAAATATTTGTTTTATTTTAATAAATACTCGGGAAAGTCTTATCATTAAGATACTTCTATTATGTATTAAAGTTTATAAATATTCAAATTTTAACACCTCTAATATAATATTTCATTTTTAGTAAAACTGAAAAGAAAAATGGAATATATAAAATACGTGAAATAAATAATAAAAATAATATTGATTTCTTGTATTTAAATGGCAACACTTAAAGAATATCTTGGTAAAGTCCCTTTTTGTCCATGATGTCTGCAATCTATTTTTACAAAAAATCGATAAGGCAACGTTTACACTCTAAAATGATAATCTTTAATTTTTATCATAGGTATAATTTTAAAATATTTTAAATATTATTGGACGCTTTAAGCAATTTTTATGCTATTTATAAAAACTTAGAAAGGCTACATTACTTATTAAAAACTTTCTATGGGCATAAAATTTTTATTTATTTTTTATAGAATTAAATAATTCCAAATAATCTATAGCCTCTGTCCGTTTCTTCTTACGCGATGATTTTGGAATCAGATTTAGACATGAATATAGTGTGATGAAAAGATCATAAGGCGATCACATAAATATGCAATCTATAGTCTGTGGTTAAAGGACCCACCTCTTGTTGCCGAGGGCACGGGTTCGATCCTGGCAAGTACCAATGTGATTTTTCCGAGTCATATGTACCTACTTTCTAAGAGTATTTAGACATCACTGACGGACGGTGAAGGAAAACATCATGAGGAAACTTGGAGTGATAATTTCATAATTATAAGTTTAAAATCACCAACCCGTCTTGAGCAAGCGTGGTGATTAATACTCAAAACCTTCTCCATGAGAGAAAGCTGCCTTTGCTCAGCAGTGGGCTCTGATAGGCTGATGATGATAGTCTGTGATACTATGCTTAATAGGAGAATAAAATGTAGCCGTTATGTTTTTGAAAACATCATTAAAATCTCTACAATAGACATGTAGTAGGATTTTAAAGATAAAAAGTTTATTAGTGTTGTTGATTGCTGGAACGTTCCAGTTATAGGAACTACCATTTCAATTCGAAAATATGTTTTAGTGTTTAGCAACACCGATTATTAAAGATGACTATTTCATCCCCTGATGTCACCCTCTAAAATGAAGGCCAAAGAAAAAGTAAGGCCTTTTAGAACTTCCCTGAGATCAACGTACTACTTCGGGGCCCTATAAGTCGATATTTCTAGTGTATGTGCAATTCGGACCACTGGCCACGGTGACCCTGTTATATTCAAAAAGGCTAAGAGCAACAGTCAAGACGAAAACAAAAAAAATAAAATTACGATAAAAAAAAGATTTTAGATTAGATAGATATTCAATATAAAAGAGTGATAGTGTAAACCGCACTTTATTAAACTGACGCATTCTGTATAGTGCTCAGAGCGTTTTCTAGACTTTAGACGTCCTTTAGTTCATTACTGAACCAACTGTCACAGTGTCGAGTTCTGTTCAATAGGAGAGTGAAGTAAGTAAGAATACTTTGTTATATTTCTACCTCTCAGCCCGATATTAATTTAACTATCATTTTGGCACAATACATTTTAGTTTGGTTAAATGAGTTTTTAAATTTTGGATATTTGTGCTTTTTATAGGGATTTTTCATAAGATTTTAATTTTCTTACATTTTTAAAGATGTTTATTTTTAAATATTATTATAACAAAATATTAGACGGTTACATTTATAATAAGATTGAATATTTTGTTTACATGTCATTGGATGTTAATTTCACTTTCTTATCATAATACGAGGATACATTATAATATGTATTGGTCTTTCATTTTGTTGATCGTCTTCAATGCCCTAATATACTGAACAATGAGTAATGGTTAAATTTAGGCCAAAATTGTTGGATTAGTTATTTTTGTACACTGAATTATTACGAGACCAAATTAAAACAGTGAAAGATAAAAATATTATAGTAGGTCCCAAATTATGTTGGAATACTTGTCCCATCACGACTTATTTCCTTCGAAATTACTTCCTTCTGAAATAGAGTAAAATAATATTTTTAAAAGATACTTAGAAGCTGAAACTTTTTCATTGCACTATTATTTGACGTTAAATAAGGTAGTGGGGTGTTTAGTTCTATATTGTTTTTTTTTTCATATCGTACCAACCTATATGACTCATTACTCATGTGGCAAATAAAATTTTCTACAATAATTGTGTCCATTTTTTTTATTTGTTTATTAAGTATTTATAAATATGTATATGTTGTACAGTTAAAACTCTTTATTCTTAAGGAACATATATTTAATTTATAAGGTTTATGCGCCGGGAATACGTAAAAGTATTTTAAAGAAGAGTGTCCATGATAATAAAATGTTAATTAAAAGTATCTTTGATTAAAGCTTTGACCACATTAATAATTCATTTTGATTCCATTCTGACCCTAGTAACACTCAGAATAATACTTTTTAGGTTACCATAATCAGTTACCACGGCATATTTTTCTATGTGAATATATGTAATTATAAACTCGAGCAATTTAAAAAGAATTTTTGATTTTAAAGAATTCCAATTTTTAAAAGATCAAGATACCAGTACCTAAAATAGTTATTGTAATTAAAATATTCTCCACAATATCTATCTATTAAAAACTGTTATATTTTGTTTACGATGCGACAAAACTTCGGTATTTTGAAGAAGCAGCATAAGGCCAAAAAATTATATGTACTTATTATAATGTATGTTACAGAAATGGGGTTACTTACTGCTTTGGCGGTTAACGTTGTGGGAGGTGCTGTTATCTACGGCACCGGCGGTCTTGGAGTGGGATTGGTGGCTCCCTGGTTGGGTTTTGGCTCAGCCGGCATCGCTAGCGGCAGTATGGCTGCAGCAGCACAATCCTACTATGGGAATCTGGCCGCTGGCAGCATCATTTCTAAAATGACAGCCGCGGCTATGGCAGCTCCCACGCCATAGGTACATACGATCAATGTCATAACATATTTTTATTTCGTTGCGAGTAAACCCTTTTTTTTAATAAATAAAAAAAATAATTATGAGTTATCTAGTTAGTATATGTAAGAATGTATCAAATATTAATAGAAAATGTTTTCTTTCAGATTCCCTGACATCGATAATTTATTATGAAGTAATAAATATTACGATGAATTTTTAGAAGTATTGTTGTTTTATTAAATTCTACTAGTAAATATATATCTCACACCTATATAATAAAAAAAAACAACCAAAACCTTTACGACTTTACGTGGTTTTTGGGATATAATAAATGATGAGTTTTTATATTGTTTCCATATCTAATGAAAATAGAGTATTCCAATAAAATCGAACAAATTGCTTGTCTTGGTTCTATAGGGACATTCAGTTACTAGTTTTTCCTTATCGAGTTTTGAACAACACTTATATAACTATTAATATACATACTTACTGTGTAGATAATTTATTATTTAAATTAGTATCGCAGTAATGTGTTATTCATTAAGAGAGTTATTAAAATTTATAATTACAGTAACTTTTGAAGTCAGAACTACCTACTTTTATACAGATATCTTGCATTTAGAAACAGAAAACGACAATTTCAAAAGCTAATTAATAATATAAATAGTTGTGAGGTTGTCTTTTAGTTGACTAATGTCATGTAAGTTATTAAATGAAAATTTAAGATAAGTAAACCTCTAAAATCAATTTAACCAAGAAGTGTCGTGAATCTTCATTTTCATAGTCAATCAACATGCAAAAAGTTATCTAGTTTTGGTTTATGAACCCTCTTAATTGAAACTTAGTACTTTATAAACAAAGATATTACAAATAGATTCTTTAATTCTGTAAAATGTGTGATTTACAATAATATTTTCAAAGAATTGTGCAACATAATTTATTGGTACTTTATTTTATTGCTGGTGTCTAGGGTTGCCATCATTCCAAAATAAGGTGTAAAAAATATAGTACATTTAAAAGAAATATAGTATTTTATGGGAAAAACAAAAAAAGAGACAAATATATATTCGTTAATTATTTCTTTTTATAAAAACTGTATTTTTTTGCACTTCTTGCACTGTGTAACAGTTTTTTGTTTAAAATAAAAGTATCGTATGCTTTGTCACATTCAATTTTTAAATTGAAGCTCATTTTTTATTAATGATATACTGCTTCTGTTTCTTTCTTCTCGCCACTTCGAATTCATAACCGAAAATATCCTTTCTGTTTATTGAGTCTTTTTATTATTTTTCGTTTTTTAGTCGGCGTTAGCGGCGCACTAGAATTTGACGCACATTCGTTATAACTACCATTTTCCATACCTAATTTATTTAGGATTTCCACTTTTCAAATGAAATAACAACATCTAATTGAAAACAATTCTGCCGATAAATAAATAAAGCAGACCAAAATCTCGTTTGACGACGTCAAAATTGACGTTTTCTATATACTATGCACTAAATGGGTCTTTTTATACTTTTATATTAGGGTCATGATGACAATGTTCATTTTTACATAAAATGTGTCATAAGAAATTCAGTCCATCTTTTTTATTTATAAAGTAAAGTTTTTTTTATGGATTTATTTGCATGATAGCAAAAAATATTTTTGTTTTTGCCTCCGTTTTTGTCTTTCCAGTTTAACCTTCAAGTTGATAACAAACTATGAGTTATAATGAGAAAAGAGACATTAAAACTTGGACAAAAAACATTTTATGTTTGAAATATTGAAGATTAACACATTCTCTAACTCATACACATTCTAAAAATAACTAGAATACTAACATAGGAACAATAGGTCATTTGTGAATTTTTCTTACAAATAATTACAGACATATAAATTCGATTTGGTAATAAACTACGTAGGTATTTTATGCATCAATAGGAATACATTTTGAAATAAAAAATAAGAAACATTATGTACATTATTTTGCTAATGATTTACACCTAGCTTATAAAATCTCACTATAAACAAATATCAATCTGACATTGAAACGTTCAATGTTAGAAGACTTAGGTACCCAGATATTTGACATCCCTACATAAATGGTAAAAAATACATTTTATATTAATAAATAAAAATAAAACTTCAAATATATATAAAACAAATATTTTTGCATGTAATATCAAGTTTTTTTTTATTATTTTGAACAACATACTTAGGACGTTTTTGGTTACTTTCCAGCAACCGGGATCACAGGCAAACGGACAGACGGACAAAGTTATCGAAATTTCGGAAATAAGGAGTTTAAAATAATAAGAAACGCAATAGTGCATCCGAAAATATTTGTTTTATTTTAATAAATACTCGGGAAAGTCTTATCATTAAGATACTTCTATTATGTATTAAAGTTTATAAATATTCAAATTTTAACACCTCTAATATAATATTTCATTTTTAGTAAAACTGAAAAGAAAAATGGAATATATAAAATACGTGAAATAAATAATAAAAATAATATTGATTTCTTGTATTTAAATGGCAACACTTAAAGAATATCTTGGTAAAGTCCCTTTTTGTCCATGATGTCTGCAATCTATTTTTACAAAAAATCGATAAGGCAACGTTTACACTCTAAAATGATAATCTTTAATTTTTATCATAGGTATAATTTTAAAATATTTTAAATATTATTGGACGCTTTAAGCAATTTTTATGCTATTTATAAAAACTTAGAAAGGCTACATTACTTATTAAAAACTTTCTATGGGCATAAAATTTTTATTTATTTTTTATAGAATTAAATAATTCCAAATAATCTATAGCCTCTGTCCGTTTCTTCTTACGCGATGATTTTGGAATCAGATTTAGACATGAATATAGTGTGATGAAAAGATCATAAGGCGATCACATAAATATGCAATCTATAGTCTGTGGTTAAAGGACCCACCTCTTGTTGCCGAGGGCACGGGTTCGATCCTGGCAAGTACCAATGTGATTTTTCCGAGTCATATGTACCTACTTTCTAAGAGTATTTAGACATCACTGACGGACGGTGAAGGAAAACATCATGAGGAAACTTGGAGTGATAATTTCATAATTATAAGTTTAAAATCACCAACCCGTCTTGAGCAAGCGTGGTGATTAATACTCAAAACCTTCTCCATGAGAGAAAGCTGCCTTTGCTCAGCAGTGGGCTCTGATAGGCTGATGATGATAGTCTGTGATACTATGCTTAATAGGAGAATAAAATGTAGCCGTTATGTTTTTTGAAAACATCATTAAAATCTCTACAATAGACATGTAGTAGGATTTTAAAGATAAAAAGTTTATTAGTGTTGTTGATTGCTGGAACGTTCCAGTTATAGGAACTACCATTTCAATTCGAAAATATGTTTTAGTGTTTAGCAACACCGATTATTAAAGATGACTATTTCATCCCCTGATGTCACCCTCTAAAATGAAGGCCAAAGAAAAAGTAAGGCCTTTTAGAACTTCCCTGAGATCAACGTACTACTTCGGGGCCCTATAAGTCGATATTTCTAGTGTATGTGCAATTCGGACCACTGGCCACGGTGACCCTGTTATATTCAAAAAGGCTAAGAGCAACAGTCAAGACGAAAACAAAAAAAATAAAATTACGATAAAAAAAGATTTTAGATTAGATAGATATTCAATATAAAAGAGTGATAGTGTAAACCGCACTTTATTAAACTGACGCATTCTGTATAGTGCTCAGAGCGTTTTCTAGACTTTAGACGTCCTTTAGTTCATTACTGAACCAACTGTCACAGTGTCGAGTTCTGTTCAATAGGAGAGTGAAGTAAGTAAGAATACTTTGTTATATTTCTACCTCTCAGCCCGATATTAATTTAACTATCATTTTGGCACAATACATTTTAGTTTGGTTAAATGAGTTTTTAAATTTTGGATATTTGTGCTTTTTATAGGGATTTTTCATAAGATTTTAATTTTCTTACATTTTTAAAGATGTTTATTTTTAAATATTATTATAACAAAATATTAGACGGTTACATTTATAATAAGATTGAATATTTTGTTTACATGTCATTGGATGTTAATTTCACTTTCTTATCATAATACGAGGATACATTATAATATGTATTGGTCTTTCATTTTGTTGATCGTCTTCAATGCCCTAATATACTGAACAATGAGTAATGGTTAAATTTAGGCCAAAATTGTTGGATTAGTTATTTTTGTACACTGAATTATTACGAGACCAAATTAAAACAGTGAAAGATAAAAATATTATAGTAGGTCCCCAAATTATGTTGGAATACTTGTCCCATCACGACTTATTTCCTTCGAAATTACTTCCTTCTGAAATAGAGTAAAATAATATTTTTAAAAGATACTTAGAAGCTGAAACTTTTTCATTGCACTATTATTTGACGTTAAATAAGGTAGTGGGGTGTTTAGTTCTATATTGTTTTTTTTTTTCATATCGTACCAACCTATATGACTCATTACTCATGTGGCAAATAAAATTTTCTACAATAATTGTGTCCATTTTTTTTATTTGTTTATTAAGTATTTATAAATATGTATATGTTGTACAGTTAAAACTCTTTATTCTTAAGGAACATATATTTAATTTATAAGGTTTATGCGCCGGGAATACGTAAAAGTATTTTAAAGAAGAGTGTCCATGATAATAAAATGTTAATTAAAAGTATCTTTGATTAAAGCTTTGACCACATTAATAATTCATTTTGATTCCATTCTGACCCTAGTAACACTCAGAATAATACTTTTTAGGTTACCATAATCAGTTACCACGGCATATTTTTTCTATGTGAATATATGTAATTATAAACTCGAGCAATTTAAAAAGAATTTTTGATTTTAAAGAATTCCAATTTTTAAAAGATCAAGATACCAGTACCTAAAATAGTTATTGTAATTAAAATATTCTCCACAATATCTATCTATTAAAAACTGTTATATTTTGTTTACGATGCGACAAAACTTCGGTATTTTGAAGAAGCAGCATAAGGCCAAAAAATTATATGTACTTA